TCTGTACCGTGGTGGAAGATCGTCTGCCAATTGGTAAATGATTGGAGTTGGGGTGGATCTGATAAGGCCCAGAGATTTGCGAAGCCATCCATGAATACATGTTTTAATTCTTGTTTCTGCGGTTTTTGTCAGATTTGACAAGGCTGCTGCACCATATTCGATTTTGGGACGCGCAAAGACTTTATAGAAATGAAGCGCCCTGTATGGGGCCACACCAAATCTACATCCGCTGAGAATTTTAAGGAAATCGCAGGTATGGTCCACTTTATGCACGGTTTCATCCACATGGACCCTAGCAGACCCACTGGCTGTGATATGTATACCAAGGTATTTAATACGGTTTGTTTGGTTCAATTGTTCATTGTTGATGCTTATGTCCAGATCGCGTGGCCGCCTACAGAAATGAATGATGTTGACTTTGCTCATGTTGAAGGTGAGATCAAGGTTGGCACATTTAGAAAACATATTATGTAGCCCTTGAGTTAAAAATTCTTTGGCTTTGTTGAAAAGTTTATCATGACAAAGGATAAAAAAGTCGTCCGCAAACTGAAAAATGGTGGTTCTATCTGATGTGGTGTGATGCAACTGTGCTGTGTATATGTTAAATAACACAGGGCTAAGTCAGCTGCCTTGAGGAATACCATTTGTTATGGTTTTGGTACATTTACCCAATTCTAATCTTCTGGATCTCATGCCGTCGAATATCCACTTGATTATATGCATGTTAAAGCCTTTCTCGAAAAGGATTCTTGATAGTTTGTGTACGTTGGTGTTGTCAAAGGGGTCTTTGCCCCTTTTTGGAATTGGCGTTATTCTGATTTTCCGCCATTCTTCTGGAAAGTCACCTTTTTTCCATATTTCTAATAAAATGTTATAGAATTTCTGTCTTTCTTCTCCTTTAAGACTGGCGATCATGCCGTAGGTGATATTGTCTGGTCCAGCAGCAGATCTGGAACTACGACTGGTCAAAAAACGTTCGAATGATTCCTTATTCAGTAGAGGGCGGTCACTGATTATATTTCCAAATGCGATTTCCATTGATCCTGTACTTGAATTTGCTTGTTCCGCTACTAGGTTTAGATAGTCGATTTGTTGTTTCTCGTTCCACACGTTGTTGACGGGCTTTTCTTGACCATATTTTTTAGTGTTTTTGACCATGTCCCACATGTCTTTGGTTGAGTTTGCGGTGTTGAGCTGGCATTGAAAGATTTTAAAAAGTTTCCTCTATTTCTTTGCTATTCTATTGTACAGCTTCCGTTCTGCTTCACCAAGGGCTAGAGCATCTGTCCATGATTTACTTCTGGTGTATCTTCTTCTAGCAGCCGTGCGTGCTTGATAGAGCTCCCGAATCTCCTCATCCCACCATGGTTTCGGTACGTAGTTGTTGTTGGGGCCCAGTTTGATCGTGTTTTCTTGTATTATTGTATTGACTTTACTGTTGAAATCTTGTAGTGTGTCACCCACTGACATTTCGCCCATCTGCGACATAATTTTGGCATGTTGGATTTTTTTGCGTTTTCTTGGTACATTGGCATTGGCGGATGTTTCCCTTAAAATGGGCAAATGGTTGCTGCTGGTGATTTTGTCGGGCAGGACTTTCCATGATATTGCAAAATCTGTTGAGTTTATGAAAGATAGATCAATAGCCGAATGTGTGTCACTAAGAGTGAAGGTGGGGTTACCATCATTTAAGCAGAATATATTGTATTCGTTTATGTGGGTTGTTATAATATGGCCCTTCGCCTCAGTGATTGAGTTGCCCCAACTGACCGCTTTCGCATTGAAATCTCCAGTGATTAGAGTGACACCACTTAGCCTTGATGCGGTTTCAAAGATAGCCTTGCTCATAGTTTTGAAGGCGTCTCTTTGAGTACTGGGCGGAATGTATGCAGTGATTATGTTTATGTTTTTCCGTAGATTGTGGGTTGTGATACCCATTATTTCGTATTTCGGGTCGAAACCGATGATACTGTAGGTGATATTGCGTCGTATGGCGATACCAACTCCACCATATCCATCCGATCTCCCCTTGCTCAGAAAATTATAGTTGCATAGACTGACTTCCGCATTGTTTTTGACCCAGGTTTCGGCTAGCAGGGCTATGTCTATATCTTCGTTTTGTAAAAATAATTCAAGAAGATCCTTGTTTTCTTTTTTGTTGATACTTTGTATATTGTATTGGAGAATTTTCATTTTGTTATTTGTTATTTTATGGAAAAGAAGAGTAACGTGATTAATTGGTTACATATTCTTGAGATGATTCCATCTCCTGTACTTTGGATCTCATTATGAAGGTGTCTATGTCAGCTAGCTGCCTATCGATCTTTTGCTTAAGTTGAATGAGAAAGCGCATATGTTCGTTTGTAGTTTTGCCAGTGTTATTTCTGTTGATGGCTCCGAGATCTGCTGAGATTCCAGTTAAGAAGTTTCCTAATTCCTCAACTTTGTTGGGGTTGATTAGTGCCGTGCCGTTGCCGGATTTGTATACGTTATCCACTTCAAGTGCTTTTTTGTACTCTAACATAGTTTTGGCAGCGTTCTCTTGCTCACGTTGTCGATTTATGTTTACTTTTGCCACCTTAGCATAGGGTTGTTTGGCATGGATTAGTTTTGCCGACTCCACATAGCTATGTATTGTTTCAGTCTTTTCTCCTTTACTTTTGTTGGACGACTTTGAGAGTGCCGGGAAATTGTCCTCTAGCTCCTCATCGAGTAAACTATAGCGATTTGAGAAATGTTTAGCGTACTTGATGCGAGCTTCGCCTTGGGACACATTCTCCATGGTCATGATTCTTTTAATCTGATAGGCTCTTTCCCTTGCCGGGCAGTCCTTAACGATGGGTGAGTGGTTACCTTCGCAGTTGGGGCAGACAATTGGGAGAATGCATGGTGCATTTTCTTCATGTCTGTGGTAACATTTACGGCATGAGCTAATTTTTTGCTTGCAATGCTGTGCATAGTGGTTGTGCCGGTAACACTTTAGGCACGTTCCAAAAGAGATGAAATGTTTAACATCACGTTTGGTGCATTCGTACAGTCTTATCGTCTTGGGTAGATCGAGGCCTTTGAAAAGAATTTTAACCCGGGGTGTATTGACACGCACACCTTGTTCCATTTTGGTTACTCGGATCACCTTGAGGATGTCCACATCAGACTGGATGGCTTTTGTGAGTTCATCTTCAGTGGTGTCGACTGGAACTCCAAAAATGATTCCCATTTTCGAAACGAACTGTCCAAATATTTTTTCTTGGTATCCTGACTCCATCAATTTTTTATTGCCAGCTAGAATGTTCGCCGCAGCAGCATTTCTGCATACAACTTTGGCCCTGCCAAAGCCAATCTTGTTTACGTCTAGGACGCCAGCGAAACCTAGATCTTTAATAATTCTGGATAGTGCGACACTGTTTATGGAGGATATCTTTCCGTTTTGGTCTACTTTGTCCACGTACCACCATTATTTTTTTTCTAGGTTTGAGATCTGAGAGTTTCCACCCTCAACAGAAAGTACGTTAAAATCGTCTTTGGTTTGGCCCATTTTATGATCTTCTGAATTTTGCTGTTTATTTTTATTTCAATAATCCAGTTATTTCTAGAGGGTTCATCATCTACGCATGGTCTTTTTTCTCGCATTCCACTACGGCTTCTATCCCTACTTTTGGGTGGTTGTTTGCTCTCCCGCTTATAAAGCGGAGGAGAGATGTTAACCCCCTCCTCCATTAGGATTTAGAAAGTTACCTATTGTCCGTTATTTACGTGTTCGAGAATGATCTCGACCCAGCAAATTCGTTTCGGTTTACCCGCACACACACACACACTGTTCTGGAGTTTTTAGAATAGAGCCGAAAAAGTAACGTGCGTCTACGCACAAATACACACACACACAAAGTACGCCAACAGCAGCCCGGCCACAACGAACACCAAACTTCTCAAAGAAACATTAAACAGCACCGGGGCACCTCTAACAGAAGCTATATGCTACATGATATTTTAAGACCTAACGATTATTTTAGCACATAACATTCTCCAAATCAGTTTTTGGTAGAATAAATTTAGGGCTGTTTGCCTTGGGCTTGGTTTGTGTGTATTTTTTCTGCGCAAGAAAATTTGGATATACCTAAACAAAATTATTTAGAGCTAATCGTATATACCTAAACCATTTTTTTGTATAAAGCATGTCGATTAAGCGCAGTTACAGTTTTTTAAACACAATTGATCGAAATCCGTTCTTAAAATTATTTAAAATCGTGTTTTTCTGATGGCAAATTCTTGAGTTGATAAACTTGTTGTTGCAAAATGGTAAGCCTGACCCTGTATTGTTGTTTTTATAAAAACAACGTTTTTTATTAGTGGAGAACGATGATAATGTTTATCAGGGGTAAGGTAGGGAATACCTAGGTTTCGAAAAGAGTCACCAATCCTCATCAGTTCCCTTGTTTTTTGTCTGGGATATTCTCAATAGAAGAGGAACCAAGGAATTAAATAAAACTAAAATTCTTTTGGAAAATCTTCTAAATCTTACAACGGCACTTATAAACATTTACATCTTTATCTTTATCCACACTATACACTCGTTCTACCTGAACGAAATAGCATAACCATTGTAACACTCAGTCTACGCGGCGTTATGGTGGGGTTCCGCACTAGCTCAGGAGGGAGCGGTTATCCAGATGGTTCTCAACCATGCCACAATCAACCCTAGGTAATGAACACTTAAAGAATTAAATCGAATAAACACAAACAAAAAACTGAAAAAAAAACAAACATACACAACATACACCAATGACACAGGAGCTTGATATTATTGCTCCCCCACTATGCCCACCCATTCTTGAGCTTTTAGTCCATATACACACAAAAAAAAAATTAAAAGGGCCCCAAAAAGCCACACACACTTTCTTACTTACAACGCCTCTCTCTCTCTCACAACAAAATTTAGCACAACATATTATTCTTGAAACTATTAGACATTAAATTTATTTATTTTAAACATCATTGTTCTCTTAAAACTAATTTCGACATGAACACATAAGAATAAAACTGGACTTTTAATACCGGAACGAAAAAATTTGTGAGTCAATACTCAGATCAGATTTGGCGCTAGGAGCGCCAAATTTTGGTCAAAAAACTACTCTAAATTCTGCCTAAAGGAGCTCGCTTAGACGAAAGTTTTGGGCATTCTAAATTCTTGTTCCAAAAAATATAGAAATGGTCTAGCTGTAAATTTTGAGAAAACCCTACACTCACTAAGGAAAAATTACCTGGGCATTAAATATCCTCACAATTATTTCTTAAGTACTATTTATCTAACTACAAGCAATACATTTATCTTATATACTAAACTACACAATAACAAAAAAATATTTTTATATAGTTTTTTTTCTTTCTTTTGGTTAAATGCCGATAATCATTAATCGACGAATTTCATATTTTTTTCTATTTTAATAGTTCATCTTCGACAAGGAAAAGGAACTTAATATGACTCTTTTAGCGGGATCTGGCTTTCATTCTTTTCTAGAGAGGAGAAAATCTCAAGCCCCGGCCGAAGGCCGGCTTTTTACAAAAAGTGTCAAATTTAGAAAACTTTGGTTCACGTTAGCCGGTGTAGGACATACCCAGAGGAGAAAATCTCAAGCCCCGGTCAAAGGCCGGCTACTTAAAAAAGGTATCCAATTTAGAAAACTTTGGTTCGCGTTAGCCGGCGTGGGACATACCCAGAGGAGAAAATCTCAAGCCCAGGTCGAAGGCCGGCTATTTTCAAAAAGTGCCGAATTTAGAAACCTTTTGTTCGCGTTAGCCGGTGTAGGACATACCCATAGGAGAAAATCTCAAGCCCCGGCCGAAGGCCCACGACTGCTACGCGACATAAACCATTTTTATACCCTCCACCACACTATGGAGGGTATATTAACTTTGTCATTCCGTTTGTAACTCCTCGAAATACTCATATCAGACCCAATAAAGTATATATTTTCTTGATCAGCGTAAAATTCTAAGTCGATTTAGCGATGTCTGTCTGTCTGTCTGTCCGTCTGTTGTAATCACGCTATCTTTCGAATGAATTGAGATAAAATTTTGCACACATGTTTATTTTTCCAGTAGGCAGGTTAAGTTCGTAAATGGGCCATGAAGGTCCACGTTTTCATATAGCACCCATATAACGGTACCTCCCTATATTCGGTATTTTGATCATTTTAGCGACATTATTCACGGGAATTGTTTCAAATTTGGTATTTGAAGTTCAAAATGGATACTACACCCTAAGACGGAAAATTATCCGTGCAGGTCCACGTCTTGGTATAGCCCCCATATAACGGTACCTCCCGATATTCGGTATTTTGATGATTTTAGCGACATTATTCACGGGAATTGTTTCAAATTTGGTATTTGAAGTTCAAAATGGATACTACACCCTAAGACAGAAAATTGTCTGTGCAGGTCCACGTCTTCATATAGCCCCCATATAACGGTACCTCCCTATATTCGGTATTTTGATGATTTTAGCGACATTATTCACCGGAATTGTTTTAAAATTGGTATTTGAAGTTCTTTATGGGAACTACAGTCTGTGGCAGAAAATTGTCTGTGCGGGTCCAGGTCTTCGTATAGCCCCCATATAACGGTACCTCCCTATATTCGGTAGTTTGATGATTTTAGCTACATTATTCACTGTTTACTTCAAGTTTCGAATTTGAATATGGTAGTGGCTTATGACAAACAATGCCTATGTATGTCCACGTCGCATAGACCCCAAAATAACGGCTATATTCGGTATTTTTAAAATTTTAACAGAATTTTTTAAGGATTTTATTTTTTGAAAATTTCCAAATTCGTTGCAAATGGTGGAGGGTATTAAAAGTTCGGCCCGGCCGATCTTACTGCTTTTTAACTTGTTTTTATTGAAAACATCATTTTAATGAACTGGTTAGAATCGGGTTATGCGGATGGAAAGACCCACATCTCTGGACCCGGAAACGGTATTAGCACAATTTGTAGCATTTTGGAAAGGTAAGAGTGTCAGCTATAATTTGGAAACAATTTTGTTGACCCCCATAATGGACCCTTTTTTTGACTTTTTTGGGGTTTCGTAAAAAATCCGGGTGCAAAAAATCGATATTTTGACTATAACTTCCGAACCATGACAAATTCATGTGACCACTTGTTGGATAGGTATTTCCATAATCTTTCAATCGATACCCATATTGTCTATATCGGGTAAGTCAATATGGGGTCTTGATCTCGGGTCAAAAATCTGCGGTCCTGGGTCCGTCCCCCAAGAAAAAAAATAGTTTCCCGGGATTACGTTAAAAATACCTATCTATGGAAAAAATTCGAAAAAATCGAAGAGTTTTTACTAAACTAGAGTTGTTCCAAAACTAGGAGTAGAATGTAAAGTGACAATTTTGACATAAACATTGAAATGTACATGGATAATAAAACTGACAGCACATATATAAAAAATATTCCCTCTGGCAGAGCCCTAATTTAGAACGTGTATATTCACGTGAGTGATTTTTTCATGGTGGCGTTTTTTTCGCTCTTCCCGGCGTCTTTTAATTTCACTATCATGACGTTGTGATATTTCATGATTCTGTTTATTACCATAGTTATCTTTCCTGCAATCTGGTCCGCCCTTCTTTAAATATTCCTGATTTCTTTTTCTATCTACAAGAGGTTCATATCCATATTCTGCCCTTTTCTTACGTTTAATATCTCGTTGATTGTCCGCGTCTACCCATTGAGATTGTTTAAACATCTTAATCCGTTTTGTTCTTGATTTCGATGTAACCCTTTTCTTCCGTTTTTCATTCTCATTTTGGTTCGAGGCCGAACTATTTAAAGATTTTGATTCACTGATGCTACTTTCAGAAGAAGAAATGTCCTTTTCAGTCATTCGCTTCTTAGTATTTTTGTTTGGGGCTTTTTTATTTTTACTTAATTTTTTTTTTGGTTTTTTTCCCTTTTATTCGAAGGATTTTTCTTTTGGTCATCTTCTTATTTTTGCCTTTATGTTTTTCCTTACTTTCTGAATCTTTTGAAGATTCCGACGACGAATAAGACGATGGTGCAAACAATTCCGAAGATAAACTATCTGAAGATATTGATTCGTTGCTGCTACTTTCGCTTTTCAAAAAATTATCTTTTAAAGAAGAGTTGTCTTTGTCAGTCCTTCGCTTTATAGTTTTATTCTTAGCGGCTATTTTATTTTTACCTACATATTTTTTAGTTTTTTTTTTTTTTTTTGAAGGATTTTTCTTCTTGGTAATTTTCTTATTTTTGCCTTTATGTTTTTTCTTATTTTCTGAATCACTAGAAGAATCGTCGTCGGATGGTGCAGACAATTCCGATGATAAAGAACTTGATGATGAGGACGAGGGTGCAGATTTCGGAGCAATCTTTAGGAGTTGACACAATTCATTAGTTATTCCGCCCAAACCAATGGATGTGAAAAAGTTAATGGAGAAGCGTATATTTCTGGGATTATCTTTGGGGAATAGTCCCGCCAAAGTTCCAGCTAAAACTTCAGTCTTAAGTTTTTTATTAAAGTGATACAGACCCATGTATTCGACCAATTCTTGAAAGAAAATTTTTATAAAAATACAACGTGATGTTATTGCGTAATCTTCAGTTAGCTTTATGCAGTCTAAAACATCCCAACTAATTGCATCGGTAAACAACAAATGAGCAAAGAGTTAGCTTATATTCCGCAAACGATTTGTATCTAAACAATGCGTAGTCTGACAGATATCCTTGAAGATTTCTTTGAAATTTTACAAAATCGGTGGGCTAAAAGGCCATAGAACTTCTCTTAGATTCTTTGTTCAGCGCAGCAATCTAACAATATTTGGCAAAACTCATTTTCTTGACAAGTTTCCAATTGTATTTTTATTAATTTTTGTGCTCATTCCCCATAATCGAAACTGGAATTTAAGGTAAGATATATTGTTCTTCTTAACGCAATCAAATTTGGTTTCGTTTCATCAATAATGTCACCACTCGTGTATTTATCATTAACCTAATTTTGCCCTTATCACAGTCAGATAATGCAGTTTCGGAATTACTACCCGAACCGAAGGAGCCATCCGAATCTGAAGCATGGCTACCCAAAATATTCTTACTAAGTGCTTTATATTTCTCTTCATTGGTCTCGTACTGATCGTGGAATTTAAATTCGTCTAAAAATTAATAAATTTAATGACAAAAAAATAATTTATTAATTTCTATTAACTTACTCAATATATCTTTCGGGTATGTGACATCTTCCAACAATAGCAAATGAGTGAATAGAGCATATTCTTCTACCAATTCTAAGGACTTAATAATCGATTGATGGTCCTTAAAGCCATCTCTGCGTACTTGAAATAAAACTTCAATCATATATTGTACACGTTTATCCAACTTGCCTTGATGCAAGATATTTTTAAGCAATTCAAAAATGCCTCCAACCCTATCCAATGATACCTCTGTCAATTTCATACCACATTCCTTAAGAAATGTTATGGCCACTTCAACATTATCATCAGTCGGCGATTCAATTAAGAGTGTTAGAATTTCTAGGGCCAAAATTTCATGGGCCACCATTTGATTAACCAAGTGGGCAATAAAATGTGAAGAAGACAAACAAACGGTCTTATCGCTACACCCAAATGCTCGTTTGAACTGTATGACCAAACGTTTCAATAGCAATTCCCCAATATTAGGAAATTTTGAATTAATAATGGCCACCATGGCGGCATAAACATGGGTAAATGTTGGCGATGCAGCTTGAGCTTTTATTATGGAATGGCAAAACACGCCTCTACCTCGTACTATATTTTCCTTAAGCAATTTTCGGGTGATAACTGCAACACAATCCACATTGACTTTATTGATGTAACCATGTATGTATTTCTCAAGTGCTTCCCGAGCTATACTTTGATATGCAGCCGATGATTTGTCCGTAATTTCTGCCTGTATCATACGCAATTTTTCGGGTGGTAAACAAACACCGCCTGTACGTGATGTTAGTAAATGTAGACTTTTCCTTTGACGTTCTGTTATCTTGGCCTCGATTCTGCTACAGTACCATTATCGTTCCTCTTTCCTTTTTTATATCGCCAGATACTTTCTTATTGTTTTTGAAGAATTCATCTTCATCTCTTCTTTTGATTGGCTTAGATCGGCGTAACGCTATCCATTCATAATCTGACGACATCGAACGACGTCGTTCACGTCGTCCTTCTTGTGAACGAATTCGTCGTGGAGATCTTGATGGAAGCTTCTTTTCCGGCCTTCGAAATCGACTGTGAGATATAGTACGGCTTCTGCTAGATCCTATTCTTCGTCTTAGTCGATTGTCCTTGTCCCTGGAGACAGACCTTTTGGTCGTAGAAGAATCTCGGCCCTGTCCAAAGGAAGTTCTTCGATTTCTTAATACACTTTTTTTATATCTTGCAATGAATAAAAATGACTACAGACAAAGAATGAATAATATAATAAATGACATTATGATATATCAGCGTATAAATAAGGACCCTACAACACATTTAATAAAAAGAAATAATGAACTGGTAGATGAACTGTTTAAAAACAATATAATTTCAGTTTTAGAAAAGAAAAGACTTAAAACAGACGTGGCCACAGCTCCTAGATTATACGGACTTCCTAAAATCCACAAGGAAGATTACCCTTTGCGTCCAATTTGCTCATCAGTCAATTCTCCATCAATTAAACTCCGCAGATATATCGTCAACATTTTGAAAAATCTTACCAGCAATTCCAGATACAACGTCAAAGACTCTATAGCTTTTAAGGATAAACTACAGAAGGTCACCATCAAAAAAACGGAAAGAATGGTGTCCTTTGATGTTGTTTCCCTGTTTCCTAGCATTCCCGTAGACTTAGGAATTCGTTTAGTAGAAGATAGATGGGACGAAATAAAAGAATATACAAGTATGACAAAGGGCTTATTTTTCAATATTCTTACTTTCTGCATCAAGGACAACCGCTATTTCAAATTTGACGACAAAGTGTACAAACAAAAGAGAGGACTTCCAATGGGTTCGCCGGCTTCTCTGATTGTAGCCGATTTGGTGATGGAGAAATTACTTGACACCTGTTTGGAAAAACTTACAACAAAACCGACGATTGTGACGAAGTATGTTGACGATCTTTTTGTGATTCTTGAAGCAAGTGCAATACAAGACACATTGACAATATTAAACAGCTTTAATAACAATATCAAATTTACGATGGAGGAAGAATTACATGGAAGATTACCCTATTTGGATACAATAGTCTGTAGGAACAATGAGAAAATAGAATTTGATTGGTACCAAAAACCGACAGCTTCCGGCAGAATCATTAATTTCTTTTCAAAGCATCCGAAACAAATATTAATTAACACTCAGCGACACTAAAAGCAAAATAAACACCGAAGACAAACACAACGTAATTTACCAAATTGAATGTGAGGGAAACAACAACGAAGAATGTCGGAAACTGTACGTTGGGACAACAAAAAACAGACTTAAAACGAGAATGTCTGCTCACAAATCAAACATCAAATGCAGAAACGAAAATGAGATACAAAAGACAGCTCTTGCTGAGCATTGCAGGAGAAATAACCACACACCAAACTTTGAGAATATTAAAATACTACAAACGGAGAGTAACTACAACAGGAGTTTGACTTTAGAAATGTTACATATTAATAACCTACCAACAACAAAGAGAATAAACTATAAGAGCGACACCGACAACGCAGCTTATTGCTACCGCCATCTCATACAGAAAAATAGATCGTGCAATATGTAAAACAACTCAGTGCAATATTTACCACAGACGATGATAGTGAAATTCTATCCTAGGTTTAAGTAAAACTTGACACTTTTATAGATGTTTTACATGTAAGCAATATATTTATTTTCTGTGTATTTTCTGTTTGTCTTTCATTGTTTTGTTAAATAATTTAATGCTGTTATAACATGAAATATAAAAATCAAAATGTATTTTTGTAGATCTCCCTGAAGATGCAATGTAACCCATTGCGAAATATCGGATTTTAATAAAGAAAAAACCCAGACCTAAAGCTCAAAGAAATATTTATTTATTGAAATTACATTGGAAAAGGTCGATTAAAAAAGCAAACTTGAATTATACTTAACACGGAGAGCACGCCGGAAAACAACAACAAAATGATTTACAAAAATATTAAAAGCAAAGGTAACATCAAACACAGCATAAATAAACACAAGAACACAAAAGTTAAAGCGGAAAAAATCAAATTTTCAATAACTTTCCTGATAAGATGTCGCAATCATGGTGTCATACCAAACTTTATAAAAAATGCTCTAAAAAACATTTACAAACTGTTTAAAAATTCATACAGATTGGACATTCACAAAACTTTAAGAGGACATATTGATATATTTCAAAACAAAATTCTCAGCCTAATCATAAAACAAAAGCACTTAGAACTAAAAAACATTTAAACAACCATTTAACAGAAGAAGAGAAGAATTGCATTACGCTCAACGAACAAAATATAACATCAAATATACAAAACAAAATCAAGAACACACAGAAAGTGAAATTTGATAAACTAAAAAAACAACAAATGATAGACCTTAACTTAAAACATAATGAAAAATGGTTCGTTAACAAAACAGAAACCCAAATTCCACAAGATGTAAAGTGGCTTCTATCTCTTGGTGACAAATTCGGTCTACCAACAAAAAAATCACAGTTCCCGTTATTTAAGCTCATAGCAGACGGGGATGATGTTATTCAAACATGGAAGGACAAAGAGAAACAAGAAGTTATGAGAACGAAGTGTACGACAATGATTGACTCACACATCAATAAGATGAGAGAAGACGGGAGAGATAAGTTTATAAATAACACAGTGGAACACACTCGAGATTTTTTGAATAAAAACAAAAATATTTTAATATTAAATGTTGATAAAGGGAATGTTACAGTTGCAATGAATAAAAATGACTACAGACAAAGAATGAATAATATAATAAATGACATTATGATATATCAACGTATAAATAAGGACCCTACAACACATTTAATAAAAAGAAATAATGAACTGGTAGATGAACTGTTTAAAAACAATATAATTTCAGTTTTAGAAAAGAAAAGACTTAAAACAGACGTGGCCACAGCTCCTAGATTATACGGACTTCCTAAAATCCACAAGGAAGATTACCCTTTGCGTCCAATTTGCTCATCAGTCAATTCTCCATCAATTAAACTCTGCAGATATATCGTCAACATTTTGAAAAATCTTACCAGCAATTCCAGATACAACGTCAAAGACTCTATAGCTTTTAAGGACAAACTACAGAAGGTCACCATCAAAAAAACGGAAAGAATGGTGTCCTTTGATGTTGTTTCCCTGTTTCCTAGCATTCCCGTAGACTTAGGAATTCGTTTAATAGAAGATAGATGGGACGAAATAAAAGAATATACAAATAGGACAAAGGGCTTATTTTTCAATATTCTTACTTTCTGCATCAAGGACAACCGCTATTTCAAATTTGACGACAAAGTGTACAAACAAAAGAGATGACTTCCAATTGGTTCGCCGGCTTCTCCAATTGTAGCCGATTTGGTGATGGAGAAATTACTTGACACCTGTTTGGAAAAACTTACAACAAAACCGACGATTGTGACGAAGTATGTTGACGATCGTTTTGTGATTCTTGAAGCAAGTGCAATACAAGACACATTGACAATGTTAAACAACTTTAATATCAATATCAAATTTACGATGGGGGAAGAATTACATGGAAGATTACCCTATTTGGATACAATAGTCTGTAGGAACAATGAGAAAATAGAATTTGATTGGTACCAAAAACCGACAGCTTCCGGCAGAATCATTAATTTCTTTTCAAAGCATCCGAAACAAATAATAATTAACACTGCTAAAAATTTTGTACACAGAGTATTGAATATAACTGACGAAAAATTCCACAGCCGAAACAAAAACAAAATCAGAGAAATATTGACAATGAATAATTTTCCAATGAACATGATCAACAACTTTATTGAATATAGATCCATAAGACCAAAGCAGGAAAAAGAGGAAAAAACATACAAGTCGATGATTTACATACCACACATGTCAGAAAGGTTCTTAAAATCTAACATATACGACAAGAATACATTTGCAATAGCGCAAAAAACGAACAACACTCTAAAAAAGTTTTTCAGCGACACTAAAAGCAAAATAAACACCGAAGACAAACACAACGTAATTTACCAAATTGAATGCGAGGGAAACAACAACGAAAAATGTGGGAAACTGTACGTTGGGACAACAAAAAATAGACTTAAAACGAGAATGTCTGCTCACAAATCAAACATCTCTTGCTGAGCATTGCAGGAGAAATAACCACATACCAAACTTTGAGAATATTAAAATACTACAAACGGCGAGTAACTACAACAGGAGATTGACTTTAGAAATGTTACATATTAATAACCTACCAACAACAAAGAGAATAAACTATAAGAGCGACACCGACAACGCAGCTTATTGCTACCGCCATCTCACACAGAAAAATAGATCGTGCAATATGTAAAACAACTCAGTGCAATATCTACCACAGACGATGATAGTGAAATTCTATCCTTGGTTTAAGTAAAACTTGACACTTTTATAGATGTTTTACATGTAAGCAATATATTTCTTTTCTGTGTATTTTTCTGTTTGTCTTTTATCGTTTTGTTAAATAATTTAATGCTGTGATAAGATGAAATATAAAAATCAAAATGTATTTTTGTAGATCTCCCTGAAGATGCAATGTAACCCATTGCGAAATATCGGATTTTAATAAAGAAAAAACCCAGACCTAAAGCTCAAAGAAATATTTATTTATTGAAATTTTTTTATATCTTGATAGACTTTTTTCTACTGAATGAGTTCGGCTAATGTGTCCAGAATAACTTAAACGTGTGTTTCT